CTATTTTCTCTCCTTCCTCCTAGTTGAAGGTAATAAGTCAGGAATGTAAAAATAGAATGATAAAAAATTGAAATGATAAACGTTCTGTCTTTGAATAGAAGAATGTTTCTTCTTTCATTTATGTTTAGTAAGAGATATAGAAAATATAAAAAAGTTTATTTTTTTGTATCTGGTGTGATGGAAAAAATACAAATGTATATTTTGCTATTATATTTATATATGAAATTAATATGTAAATAATAGGTAATAGGTAATAGATAAATATGATATATGTATATATTAAAGGTAAATATATAAAGTAATAATATAATTTTAGAGTTTGAGTACAATTTGCAGTCTGATTATTCCCTTATCTTAATTTGGATTGACTGACAGTTTGTTGATTGTTCATTTCATTGATTCATCATTGTTGCTAATATTATACACAACATACTCTCATCTTATGGATTCCCGTCATCTGTGGGAAATATTTTTCAATACTCCCCTGCATGTCATGTTTTCATTTTGAAAAATTGAATCACTAACCCTGGCTGATGAAAAGGAAAAAAAAGATTATAACAAAAGCATATTGTTCTAATCTTTCTTCTTTCCCCTTTCCTGTGTGACGATAGTTCATGATAGTTGCTGATACCTTTTTGTCTTTCAGAGTGAAGTTGGAAACAATTCACTTCAAATGGCTTCCATGAAACAGAAAAAAGCTGATGAGAATGTCTTACGGCTAGTTGAAGAGCAAAAGGTGACCATTTAGTATCAAGTTTTGATAACATACTGTAGGATAGGCATAATGGCTGTTTCATAATTTTCCAAACTGTGTAGCTTTCGTTGACTATCCTTTCGACAGCACAGAGGGAGAAGGAGGAAGATTTGAAAAAGATACTGGAGTTAGAAAGGCAGTTAGATGCTAAACAGAAATTGGAGATGGAACTTAAAGGAAAACTAGAGCTGATGAAGCATCTGGGAATTGATGTTGCTGTGGTTCAGCAAAAGTTTAAAGAGATGAATGAAGAATTAAAAGAGAGAATTGAGGAAAATTGTTATTTGGAAACTTTGAATCAAACTCTTATTGTCAAAGAGCGCCAAAGTGATACTAAGCTACAAGACGCTCGTAAAGAATTGATTGCGGTATGCTGTTTTCCTGTCATTTCATTCTTGTGGACATATGGTTTAAGTGTAACGCTGAATTAATGGTCGGAGTATTTAGATGAGCCATGAATTGTAATACATGGCCTTTAGTTGAAGACACGGTGAACCGTAAGTATCAAAAATGGTTTCATTTGGAACACAACCCAGTGGCTCCTCCCAACGGGATGAAAACAAAATAGGAAAAGACTCGGAATAGAAAACTGAAATGGTTGTCTACAATCAAACAAAAGGGCAACTAATTCATATATACCAGGATACTTGGGCTGATGCTATGAAAGCATATTGTCTCAGCAATAGAACCTTATCTAGGCAGTTATGAAACATATGAAACCATAATTACTCATGGGGACTGAAATATTGAAAATGCTTTCAATATTTTCAGGGCTTGAGTGAGATGCTGAAGAGTGATCCAACTAATATTGGGATAAAAAGAATGGGAGAAATTGATCTGAAGGCCTTTCACCATGCGTGCAAATTGTGGTTCACTCTTGAAGAAGCTCAAATCAAGGCCTTAGAATTGTGTTCCTTATGGCAGGAGAGACTGAAAAATCCTGACTGGCATCCTTTTAAAGTTATCATTTCTGGTGAAAATTATTGGGTATGTTTTCTGAATATCATTCTAATTGATTTTCGCATGCATGTGGTAATACTGTGCTGTAGTGCATGTTCACAAGACTGCCCACATAGATGTCATGTAATTTTTCAGGACCTGTATCCTTGATAAGAATACAAACTTACCAGTGATTCCACGATACTTTCCATTGTGGGCTTCATTTTCTAGAGGAACACTGTGATATGATGTTAAAGCGTCTCTCATTTTACCATGTTAAACTTTTATGGCGAGAAACCTGACTGTTTTTAACTGAACTTTTAGATGAAAGAAACCTTTGCATCATTCCTGCATGTTTGAATAATGATGGAACTGCCAGGATATTCAACATTGTGAATCATTATGAATGATGCAGGAAATTCTGAATGAGGATGATGAAATGCTACGAAATCTCAAGGAGGAATGGGGTGGTGAAATATACGATGCAGTTACCATAGCTTTGAAAGAGATGAACGAATACAACCCAAGTGGCAGGTATGTGGTTTCTGAGCTGTGGAATTTTAAAGAGCAAAGGAAAGCCACCTTAAAGGAAGTTATTGCTTATATTTTGAAGTATTTGAAGACACTTAAGCGCAAGAGATCAGGTTTTCCCTAGGAAAACTTGTTTAGAAGTTGGAGTTGTCTGTCACTGAGGCTATGCCCTGTTTGAGACTAAGGCAGGCTCCATTTGACCGCATTTTATCATGCTTTCCTTGCGCACATTCCAGTATGATTACTTTTTTGTGAAACTACAGCCGCAGCTTTCTCTTGTCCTAATTTTCAACTTTAGTCTATCTGGACCATAGTTTCGAGCTTATCATTGTTTATAACACGCTTTTCATATCAAAATTAGTTTGTTAACATACTTCGAATAGAAACCTTGAAAGTGTGTTTTGCAAATGCCTTTGTACAATGAAAAGCAGTAGGTTTCAATCACGCTTTCATGTAAACAATGTCAATTTAAAAATCACATGTGAAATAAATTTTAAAGAGTTAGTTTAGTTGAAAATTGTAAGTGCTCATATGAGGAGCGTTAGGGAAAAGAAGAAGACGAGTGTAAGATGGAAATGTTATGGTGTGGGATGATGGGCATAAAGACGAGTCAGGGAGGGTTTTGTTAACCGGTCGACATCTTCCTTCGCCGTCCATATCTACGTTGAGACTTGCATCAGCTCCAGCAGAGCAGAACACCATTTTGGTTAAACTGTGGTGTTAGCTGTATTATGTGGTGTTTTCTGTCTCTCAATGTTAAAGTCAATACTAAGAAATTTTAACTGAAATTAGATGATACGTTTTGAGTTCGAGCCACCACCACTAAAACCCATGGTGGATAATATCATTAAAAAGCTTATGTGTGCAGTGGTGGAGAGAGAGGGAGGGGGAGAGGGAGAGGAAAAGACACCAAAGAAAAAGTGATTGCTGATCAAGGAATAGTACCACTTAATTTGGAACATATGCTCTGTCATTATTTCCACAGGCTGCTACTTGTCTATTTCAGCATCTTAATTTGGTCGGCAAGGAAAAATTTTCTTTCATGATCTTTTCACTCTTGTCTTCAACTAAGTGTAGGCTTAGGCTATGTGTAGGTCTGCCTGCATACATTCATTAACATCACGTGTAAGGAGTTGGCTTTGATTACAAAAAAATAAAAATTGGTACGATATCAAAAAAGTGAAAAGGCTATATGGTAGTCACTTGTACGCTCCAATATTTATAAAAATTTATAATCAGTTTCATCGGTATATATTTTAAAAATAAGTGAAATCGCTATACACTTTAAAAATAAGTGATAATATAAATTAAAATTAATTTTAAAAAATAATAATTATTTATTATATTTAAACATGAAATAAAAATATAATAAAAAATTTACAATATTGAGTGAAATTAAATTTGCATTTTATATTAAGTTAAAAATATTAGGAGTTTAGATTAGGTTATCTAAGTTCACCACTATTTTAAGTGATAATAGAAATTAAAATTAGTTTTAAAAAATAATAATTATTTATCATATTTAAACCTAAAATAAAAATATAAGAAAAAATTTACAATATTTAGAGCTATTAAGTGACATTAAATTTACGATTAAATTAAAAATATTAGAAGTTAGTATTAAGTTATCAAAGTAAGTTCACCACCGGGACAAATTACAACTAAAGTTTAGCACATTTTTTTTTGCTATTGCTAAAAGGTTACAGTAAGGTTATATTGCCACATTTTTTGGGTAAAATTGTCATTTTTGGGTTATATTTTGGGTGAAGTTAAAATTATTACAACAACGTTTTTCACCACTAAATAAATTACAACATAGTTATCATATTTGGGTACACATTTTGTGTTAAATTAAAATAGGTAAAAAAAAATTGGGGTAATATGAAACTAATTACATAGTTGAATGTGTAATATTAAAAATATGAGGAAAAATTTGAAAAACGGTGATAATTTAGCGGTATAAGTGAAATTTAATGTTAACCAAAACGCAACTTGATCGCTGGTTAGCGATCGAGATTAGTTTGCAACTTGATTGATACTTGAAACCCCAATCGCTACATAAGTGATCAACTTAGATCGCTACTTGGAACGCCGATCGCTCATATAGTGATCAACTTAGATCGCTAATCTAACCCCCGATCAATCCAGGTTAGATCGTATTCCCTAAAAAATCCAACTCTTCAACCTAAGCTATCTAACCTAATTGCATACCCTAAATCAACGATCTAACCCCAAATCGGTGAAAACCCAACCTGATTACATACCCAAAACCCTAAATCACAATCATCGCCACAGTCTCGAACCCCAAATTAGCAATCAAATTGAATCGAACCCAATCGCCACTACCACCAAAGTCACTGCCACCGGAGCCACTGCCACAGCCTAGAGCAACCACCGCCACCGCTTTCCTTTTCTCCGAGGTATCCATTCTCTCTCTCTCTCTCTCAATTTCATCATATTTCTATATACATAGTTCTCTCTCTCTCTCTCAATTTCATAATATTTTTGTAAGGGACGTGTTTTTGGGGTTGAACGAATGATAAGGGATATGTTTTTGGGGTTGAACGAATGATGGTTTTTGTGAATGATGGTTCAAAAGTAATGCAATCCTATCTTCCTCACATCTCCATCAACTGTTATTGCTCAAAAGTAATAGATAATCTTCCATGTTAATGCTCTATTTGTTGACTAGATTTTTTTCTTGTTACAGCAGAGTATAATGACCGAAGGCAAAAAGAAGTATAGGCCAAAAGTTGTGGATAACAGTAGGGAAAAAATGAAGAGGAAGAAGAGCTGTAATGATCCTCCCTCCATTGGTCCCTCCTCGAAGAAGAATAAATGTAATCATCCTCCCTCCATCGATCTGTCCTCCAGAGTTGATCCCTCCTCCACCAATCTAGTTGATCCCACCTCCACCAATCCAATTGATCCCACCATTGATACCTCCTTTAATACATCAAGTTCACCCAACCCCATATGCAATGAAGACATATCTTTCTTTAACAAAAATTGCAAACATTGGTATGATAATTGCTTTTATTGTAGGTCTTTGTTATTGGAGATGAGTATTTTACTGAATCAATTAAAAGATGTAGGATGTGATGTTATTTTTGCTCTTCATTAATGGAATTCTGCAGTTGATATCAAGAAGATGGATAAAGCATATAATACATTGGTGAATATATTTTATTCTAACATGCATGATATTAATAAAGGTGATCGCAATTTTAAGTCCCTTGTGAGGAATGTAAGATTTGAAGTAACCCCAGATTTAGTTTCAAAAATACTGGGAGTTCACCGACCTTTCGTTCCTAACGATATACTTACCTATCCATTCAAAAATTCTAAGGACATACCTAAATTGGAAGATGCTTATGCAGAAATTGAGGGTATACCTAATAATTTTAGTGAGAGTGTTGACAATCCAGTATTTTTTTTAACAAGACCTTACTCCCAAATATTGGATGTTAAACCTTATAGTAGGGTACAATATTAGTCCAAGAGGACATGCTGCTGATTTTGGACTTGATCGAGCTCATCTCATGTATGCCATTGAAAAGGGTATATATTCAGATCTACCTTGTTTAATCGTTGATGAAATTATTTCGGTACAAGGTACGAAAGATAGGGAACAATGTCTCCCATTCCCAATTTTGACTTCAAAGATTTTGGAGGATTGTGGAGTTGTGATTCACTCAAGTGATGCTTATTCCATTCACATGAATCCAATTTATGGTGGGACAATAAAAAAGAGTTTGGGGCAAGGGAAGAAGAAGAAAACTCAGTAGCCACAGTAGCCACAAGTTGAAATCGAGAATGAAGTTGAAGCTGGGGATGAAGATGAAGCCCAGGATGTCCCAAATTCTTCAACAGGTGGTCTTCCTACATTTAATGATCTTCTTCCATTGACTATATTTGAACATTTGCTGGTACGAATGGGGCAGAAAGATGGAGGAAATTGAAAATACTCAAAATAAAATTAAGGAGTCTCTGAAGGTGATCGATAGTAGGTTGGATATAAATGATAGTATGTGGGATAGAATTGAGCCTTTTTGTATGAAAAGCAAAGAAATAGCTAGGAAGTGATATATGTAATTGTAGTTATTGGTTGTTGATACAATAATTGAACTAGCAGTAGTGAAATGTGATGAAACAAATTAATGCAATATGATATCTTTTTGTCAAAAATCTAAAATATCTTTGTTCTTTGTAAATAAAATGAGCATGGTAATGGTTGTGATGAGCAAATGGTTGTGATAAGCATGGTTGTGTAATTTAGTAGTAAGATTACAAATTCTTATCGTAATTTTACTTCTAAAAATACACAAAAAAAGTTGTATTCTTACACCCAAAAAAGTTGTATTTTAAGTCCAAGCAATTTGTATTATAACCCAAAAAAATGATAATGTTAACAAAAAAAGTGGTAATCTTCCCTAAAAAATGGTAATATTACTCTAAAAAGTGATAATCTTGCCTCAAATAAATGGTTACCTTATTCAAAAAAGTGGTATTCTTACAAAATAAAGATGATAATATTACACCCCAAAAGTTGTACTCCTACACCTAAAAAAGTTGTATTCTAAGCCAAAGCAAATTGTATTATAACTCAAAAAATGGTAATTTTCCCTAAAAAAAGTATAATCTTGCCTCAAATAATGGGTAATCTTACCAAAAAAGTGGTATTATTACAAAATTAAAGTGATAATGTTTCACCTAAAAAGTTGTATTCTTATACCCAAAAAAGTTGTATTCTAACCAAAAAAATAATAATGTCAACCAAAAAAGTGGTAATCTTTCCCTCAAAAGTAGTAATCATTCCCTCAAAATGGTAATCTTCCCTAAAAAAGTATAATCTTGCCTTAAATAATGGGTAATCTTACCAAAAAAGTTCTATTATTACCAAATAAAAGTGATAATGTTTCACCCAAAAAGTTGTATTCTTACAACCAAAAAAGTTGTATTCTAACTAAAAAAAATGGTAATGTCAACCAAAAAAGTGGTAATCTTTCCCTCAAAAGTGGTAATCATTGCCTCAAAGTGCTAATCTTCCCTAAAAAAGTATAATCTTGCCTCAAATAATGGGTAATCTTATCAAAAAAGTGGTATTCTTACCAAATAAAAGTGATAATGTTTCATCCAAAAACTTGTATTCTTACACCCAAAAAAGTTGTATTCTACGCCCAAGGAAGTTGTATTCTAACCCAAAAAGATGATAATATTAACAAAAAAAAGTGCTAGTTTTCCCTAAAAAATGGTAATTTTACCTCAAATAATTGGTAATCTTATCAAAAAAATGGTATTCTTACCAAAGAAAAGTCATAATGTTACACCCAAAAAGTTGTATTATTACACCCAAAAAAGTTGTAATCTAAGCCCAATGAAGTTGTGTTCTAAACCAAAAAAAATGGTAATGTTAACCAAAAAGTTGTAATGTCTTATCTACTAATGTCTGCCTATCTGATAAACCAGATAAATTGGTCTGGAAGCCTTCTTAGCTGGGGAATTTTTCTATTAAAACAACCTGGGGTCTGATCAGAAGTCAAGGGCAGCCTAATGACCTAGCTACTTTAATCTGGAAGCAACCATCTCCTCCTAGTGCCCAACTTTTGGGATGGAAAATCTTCAAAGACTCTCTGCCTATGAACTCAGCTCTTCAGAATGTGGGTGTCTCCTTAGCAAGTAGATGTGCTCTATGTAATTGTGAAGCAGAATCCCCTCCTCATCTTTTTATTTATGATTTACACATGAATCATACAGATATGCAGACTAGGGTTTTGCAACTGGAATTCTTAATGACAGACAAGTGATATGCTCTAGTATGCTACATGAAGAAGTGCTCATACACTCAAATTTCCAAGTAGTCAGAACAGTCCATAATTTATACAGTCCAGTGTTTATTACATATTTTGTCTTATTCTAATAAATTTTCAAAAAGCAAAGGAAGGCGAGTAGAAAGGAATATAGCATGCACCTACTTATCTTCCTCTCTCAGTCAACTTCAGAGTCAAGGTGTCTGGTATTCTCGAAGCAACTTCTTAACATTACTAGGGATTTGGATCCAGATCTCTGTTTGGCCTTTTTTTGCATTTTCTAGTTCCTCCTATCTGCATCACTTCTTGGTAGTTGATATTCAGATTCTAGAAAGCTCTTCTTGGATCTCTCTACATCTGTCTGTCGGGATTATTCTCTACTTCCAGCTGATTTTTGTACTGATCTTCTCCATGCAATTGTTGGCTATCCATCTTCTACTAGTTTTGAAGCAAAAAGGGTTTCCTTATCAATTTTTCTCACTTTCTATCTCTCGTGGACTATTATGGCTTTGTTCAGTGGTTTCGCTCTCCAAATCGTTTGGTATTCTGTGGATTTTTTGTCTCTTCAAATGCTCTTCTTGCTGGATATTCGTCTTCTACTTTCCATGGGGACCTTTCACTGGGTATTCATCTTCTGTAGTGCTTTCATGAAGAGGGGCTTTAACCAGGAAATTCTGTTGGCTTCACCTTTGCATCATCTATCCCAGAGGACACCCATCGAAAATCTATACAGTCTTCAATTTCTACTGGACATGCATGCAAAAGCATTCATCATTTTTCTCACCTTTCTCATCTAAATTTTCTTTCTCTTTACTAGATTCTCGTGGGAGGATTTTTCGTTTTTCAGAGAACTTTTCTATTTTTCATCTAAAGCTATTCATCTACCTAACAATGGGATTGTCAAGATTCCCTTTCAGTTCTCCTCTTAGAAGACTCTTTATCAGGCTTTCAGTCTCCTTATCAGCCTCATTACCTTCCCATATCTGATTTATCTTTTCATTTGCTTTATCTGTCCATTAATGCTCTTTCAACTAGAATGCTCGCATCTCATAACTCTCAGCCTTCCCTGCTCGAAGCTCATGCTAATAGCTTGAAAATGCTTTCAACTATTTTTCCCAACTACCAAGTTTTCAGCTATCTCTTTCAGCTCACGGCTCATGCTTACAGCTCATCCTTTCAGCCTGTAAATGTTCTCAACTCCAGTTATCAGCTCAACAACTCCTCAACTAACTCTTGCAGCTGTTGTCATAACTACAACTATTGTCTTCATGAGTTGCATCTTTCAGCTGCAAATCCTTAGCTTGTTTTCAATTCAAAGCAGCTACTGTTCTATTGCCACAACTCATTTAATTATTATGCGGCTGGAATCCTATTCACATTACTATTCACGTGACTGTTCAGCATTCCAGCACATTTTAGTAGTTGGTTCATCAGTTAGTAAATTATTTTTTGTTTTTCCATGTAAAATCATGCATTAGAATTTTTAATTCCTTATCATATTGTAATTAGATTGCATTGAGGGTAATGTAAATACATCCCCCCTAACTAGGTGTAATTTAATTTTTAATCAATAAAATTCTCTCGCAAGTTCTCCTAAAAAAAAGGGTATATCGAAGTGAAAAAAAAAACTTGGAATGGAGAATGTAAAACACTTTCATTCAAAGTTGCAAAAAAAGTCAAATTTCATCAACCCATCTTGCTCCATGATCTTGGTGCCCATTGTGATAGCATAAATTGATGGTTAGATGACAATGGTGAAAAAATAAAATTTGTGGGATAAAATTTGTGATTTTTGTAATTACCTCCATATTACTGAAACTAATGTTGATGTACTATGATTGAATGGTAGAATCAAAGCTTGACATTCCATCCTAAAATAAAAAGGAATGAGTTCATATGGAAAAAAAATATAAACATCTAAAGAGTATTATATGAACCTGATAGTTGAGGATACCCTCGTTGACAAAGGGAATGCAACGGTCATCCTCTTTCAATGATGGCATAGATTGATGCGATCCACCATGCTGTGAAAAAGACATGTGGGGTGGTTGTTCTGATCCACTAAGTTGTGAAAAAGGCATGTCCCGTGGTGGCTGTGATCCAACTAGTTATAAAAAGGCATGTCCTCGAATGGATCATTGGATTGAGACATCAATAGTGGACATTTTCTAACAGTATGGCTAGTGCCCCTGTATTTACTACATCTTCGTAGGTTGATTGGAATATTCTTACTTGCACGACTATGATTACCCTTGGTTTTCACAATCTTTGGATCATTCACACCAAATTGTGTATTCGTCACATTTGCATTGTGTTTGCCAAGTGACTCATGACAGGCTTTTAGAAGTGAAGTTCTTTGTTGCACCAAACTCCTCAGGTCATTTGAGTTTGAGAGCGACTGTGAAGCATAATAACACATTTGGATGCACATTGACATAAGTCCAGCATAATGCGTAGGAATTGACACATTCGGCTACACATTACCACATTCGTGTGCACATTTGTACCTAGATTTTGCTTTAATGGTCCACCTATTTATCACACTGGTATGAGGAAACTCTTGTATGTGCTCATACTTCATGACCGTGATCATGTGAGAGCATGAAATTCCAAAACACTCAAATCTCATGCAATTGCATTTAAACGCATGAATTTGAGGATAATATTGCACAATCCACCTTGAATATGGTTTTGTGAATCGAGACAAATAGTAACTTCGATGACTTTCAATTTTGATCATATCCACTACAAAAAATACATCTTCTTCTTGTATCTTATCGCAGATCTTGAAGAAAATTTTTCTGGTATATAGAGCAGTAGCATGCTTCCCTAAGTATCTCAGTATGTCAGTATTGTCAACATCATTGGCCTAGAATGTTTTGACTCAAATTCATCATTGGCCTCACACTCCTTGATCCTTGCCAAGCCCCTGTCATAGTGCCTAACAAATTTGAATAATCGTTGGCTTGTTTTTAGAA